TACTAAAGAAGAAATTAATATAATTATATCAAAATTATGAAACTTACTGTATTTTATTTAAATCTTTGGGTAGGTCATTGTAATTTATTTTTATTTTTTTAAATGGGGAAGTATGTCCTATTTTAATTTGAAAAATAACTACATTTGATTTTGAGTTTTCAAAAAAAAAAATTTTAAATTTTCAATTCATATATTTCTATTTAATGAATTATTTTAATATTTTGGTTTTTTTTTTTTAACTTTTTAGATTCACCTAAATTAGATATACTCACCTAAATTAGATATACTTAAAAAGAAAAAAAAAATATGAAATTTCAAAAAAAAATTAACTAAATACAAAAAAAAATAATTCATAAAATTTTCTCTTTTTTTGTAATTATTGAATTTTTAAAATATTTTTTCACAAATATTTAACTTTTTAAATATATCTAAATTAAGTATATCTAAAAAGTAAATAAATAAATAAACTATTAAAAAAATTTACTAAAAACAAAAAAATATATATGAATTAAAAATTAAAAATTTATTTTTGAAAACTCAAAATCAATTAATTTTTTTAGGATTAATCTGCACTCGATCTTAATTTAAATTGACTTACTAAGGCCTCGTTTGGGATGCTTCTGTTTTAGCCAAAAAGCCAAAAAGTTACTAAAAAAGCCAAAAAGTCACCCTAAAAACCTATATACACTACCTGCACGTGAAGGCTGCCAGCTGTTGTGTAAAATGACCATTTTGCCCCTCTTTCATTTTGTTTATCTCATTTTCACCCTTGCCTTTATGTCAAACATTGATGGGGATGTTAGCAGACCTACTCTCCCACAGAGTGTAGTAGCTACGGCAGTGCAGCTACATCAAACGGTGAAGATGAAGATGACCCTTCGTTCAAGGCTGGATCATAGTAGCAGCTCTGATCTGAAGAGAAAGAGGAACCAAGAGACGGCGATAGTCCGCCAAGGCAAACGGAAAAGCAGTCCCTCCTCCGACGATCCCCCCAACTGCAGGTATGCTCTCGCTCTCTCTCTCTCTCTCGCTCTCTGTCTCTCTCTCTTTAGCCTCTCTAATTTCCATTTCGCTATGGCTTCCCAACCGTCATACGCTCTGTTTGGTTTGTATGTATGTATGAACTCTCTCTCTCTCTCTCTCTCTCTCTCTCTCTCTCTCGCGCGCGCGCGCTCTCTCTGTTTGTGTGTGTGTTTCTGTCGCTCTGTCTGACCATTGTCGTTTTCCAATTTGTCTTCAACATTCGAGTTGGGTAAATTTTTCCAGAAACTGGCCTATTATGTTGGGGGTTTTAGGGTTTCTTTCACGTACCGGAAATAGACAATATTGCGGGTTGTCCGTTGGTGGGAGGGGTGTGGATCTCATAACCATGACTTCTCTGCTCTGGTTTTTGTATATGTGCACAGTCTGCCCTCTCTCCCTCTCGCTCTCTGTTTGTCTTTGTCGCGTGTATGTATCAACCGTTGCCTATTTCATACGCATTAAAAAAAAATTACAACGCTTTTTTTGGGGGGATTGAATGCTCGCTCGAGCTAACAACTCAAACCCTCAGGTCTGCAACCAGAAGCACGCTCGAGCGACGGACTTCTCGCTCGAGCGAAGAACAAACCAGACCGCTCGAGCGAAGAAAACTCGCTCGAGCCAAGAAGTGCAGCTCTCAGGTCCAGAACCAGGCGCAATCGCTCGCTCGAGCGAAGCCACTCTGGCTCGATCCACCAGGCACGAACTCAAGAAAGCCCCCTAAATACGATGAAGTATTATGATTAATTTTCCCCTGACAAGAAAGCCCCCTAAATAGGACGAAGTAGCCTGTATTAATAAAACAAGTTGGAAGTATTCTGTCTGTCTCTGTGGTTATAATTGTGCAATACGTTGACATGAAATTTTCATTTATACTATTCCTATAAATTTGGTGAAATTAGCTACAAATGCCACCATTGTGATTCCTACGAACACATCACAATAACGTTGGTGAATAATTGGTCATTTTCTTTTTGTTTATGTGGCAGTCTGGTTGTCCCTGTTAATCTTTTGAGTAAGGTGGATTCAATCCCTATAATGAAAAAGGAGGGGGGAGAAAAAAAGAAAATTTGTCACTAGAAAACAACGAATCATACAAATTTCCACAACAAACTCATCTTCCATATGTCTCAGTGTTTAAACAATGTACTTCAGCAAAATATTTTTAATCTGTTCAAGGTAATGTTGATTTTTATGTGTTTACAATTTTCACAAATGTTTAATTTGTTTCAAATTTTTAAACTGTTTAAGATTTCTGTTTAAGGTCATCTGTTTAAGGTAAGGTAACGTATGCATTTGATGGCGCTATATTTTTAGGTAATCTGTTTAAGGTTTTTAATCTGCTTAAATTTTGTAATCTGTTTGCATGCGTTTAAGATTTTTAATCTGTTTAAGGTTATCTGTTTAAGGTAAGGTCATGGAGCTGTATTTTAAATTCACAAAATAGTATAAAGGTCTTCATTTTTTTGCTTGACACTTTCTTATTTTTCATTTTTCTGCTTCACGCTTGCCTCATAGTGTTCATGGAAATGTGATACGATTGTTAAAAAGTGCTAAATAGATGGAACATAAACATGAATTCAGTAGCTATATAACTGTGAAGTTGGTGAGCATGATTTCCATGATCAGGATGTTTGTGTAACATCTATTCAAGTACTTTTTGTAGATCTTTATGCATATACATACGCATGAATATAGTCTATTCCTTTCTAATCTAATACACATGTACATACATATATATGTAAATGTGCATATATTTTAACATGACATAACATTCTATTTCTTTCTAATCTAATACACAAGTTTGTAGTTTCAAAAAAATCCTGGTATGAGTTTGACATTCCGTTGAGTTGCTTCAGTCTTTAGTAATCGCCATGTTGGTTGATGCAAACCATTGTGCTGCTTGGTACATAGTTGCCTTAATATATTGACCTCAAAATCGCGTTGGCTTTGCTTACCTACTGTATTTCCTGACAAATATCAGTTGGCTTATTGTGGTTATGCCTTAATTAACATTGTCCTAAATACAGTAAAACTGCTAATCCAAGGATGACTTTGACTTGTAATGCTATCAATATATGGTTAATGCTGTGGTGGGATCTTACGTTATTATATTGCCTTCATACCTACCTAGTTTTTTTAGACTACAAATTTTAATGTTGCCCAAATAGACGCCTCAGCACAATGTTTCCTAAAGTGATAGATTAATTGCATCAGTATGTGTGCATGGCCATTCCAGCGTGATGAATGGTTGTCTTTCTGCATGGTAATTGATTGAGGATTTTTCATTTGTCCCATTTCAAAGAGGTTAATTGCATCAGTATGTGTGCATGGCTATCAAACAGGTTTCTTCTGATGTGTGTCATGTGCTATTTTGGTATTATTGGTTTACCATGATTCTATTTTTTTTTTTTACTTTTATTTTCAAGCTCTTTGCTTGTTGTATGGTCAATCATGATTAATATTTTAATTTCTCGGTTATAAACCTGTCATAACAAAGCACAAGTGTAAATTATGTTCACATTATGAAAGGCAAGGAAAAGTCTGAGACACTTGACAACTCAATCAACTTATGAAGTACTAACACTTCAAAATAGATGTGTTTGTGTCAATGTATGGGGCACCAACATGCTAGGGATACATCTCTGTGTTGGACACGTCACGTGGAATGACTTATTTGTTTTTTTTAACTACACAGTTCACAGATACATGTGTCCTATGTTTAAACATGCCTCAAATCATATTTGTGATCTTTTTTATATGATTTAGAAAGATGCATTAAGATCAAACTAAAATATATAAACACAAAGACAGGAAACTGAGAACGTAAAAATACACCTACATACATTAATGCCTTTTATATCAGTGTCTCCTAAATTTATATTTATATACATAGCAATGGAAATTTAAAAAAAAAAACAAAAAGATTTCTTTTGTTGTATTTCTGTCTTGTCTTGTCAGTATCTTAGTTTTTTACAAAATTCCCGTCTTTGCCTCTGCGCTTCTTAGCATTCAACCAGTTGCACATAAATGACTAGCGAAGCAATCCTATTGAAAATGGAAGAATATATGTTCCCTTTTGTAAATATAATGTTGTGTTTTGTTTACACAACACTTATCCCATTCCATAAGTGTCACACCCGTTTACCTATTTTGTTGTGCCTGTCATGTCATCGAACACGTCATCACAGAGTACATGGCCTCGTTTATGTCTACTGTGACAACAACGCAACCAGGCCCTATGTGTGCTTGTGGGTACGGGCATTGTGTGGTCAAGATTTCTCGGTCCGCCAAAAATCCAGGACGTGCGTACTACCAATGCCCTCGTGGAGTGGTGAGTACAAGCACCTTCACCTTCTTTGGGATTATTACCTTGTCAAATCGTCACTAATAATTTCAAAACTTTTTTTAACCTCAGCCATGTGTCAATTGGATTGGGTGGTGTGATGAATATGGCCGACAAACGGCTGTTGAGAATGACAGAGACAATGTTCGTCGTTTTGAGGCGCGTTTGATTGACATTGAACAGAGTCTGCGTGTACTTAAAGTTGTCACATGTTTTTTGTCCATCATCGTCGCTATCTTGTTGTTCTATATGTAATATATGTAACAGTGTTTAGATGGTTACTGTACTATGGTTTCCGTATGTGATATATGTATCCGCGTGTTGCTTGTTACCGTACTATGCTTTCCTTATGTAATATATTACTTATCCGTGTCATTTTACTATTGCATATGTGTTGGACAAACATAATAACATATGGTTAACACAACTACAACTAATGCACACAACAAACTAATAAGTAATGCAAATTATAATGTTCTATAGTCGCATGGCTTCAACTCGATCCGGCTCTCGTACCCCTTCCGGGAAAGGGAAGGGCCCAAAACCTTATCACAAAGCCAATTGGGATTGGGAGAACACACGTATCTACTTGGAACTTGTTGTCAAGGAAATAGATGCAGGTAACAGGCCGCACATGTCAATAAATCCAAATAGGTACCGGTCTTTGGCAAAGACTTTTGAGGCAGCGACTGGGTTGACACATAGCATGAAACAACTGAAAAATAAGTACAACCAACTAAAGGCAGAGTGGCGTGCATGGTCGAAACTAATGGATAGCCGCAAAGGCCCCACTGGAATTGGGTTCGACCAAGAGACTGGCTTCATCAATGCGTCGGATGAATGGTGGGCTACAATGGAGAAGGTAACGACTTGAACTCATGTTTTATAATTTTGTGATGCTCACTTTGTGGTTACACTAGTTTTGGCATGACATGTCATGTGTTTTTTTTAAAACCTTTGTTTGATCTTCTTGAAAACTTTCCTCAGCATCTCAGTAATGTTGAAATGTATAATTGTCAAGAGTTGATTTCACTTTTTACTTTATGGTTGCCTAGACCGTCTCAGATTTCTACCTTAATTTTTCTTTCACAATTGGATCTATCATGATGTGTTTTTCTGTTTCACTGTTTTCCCCATTTTCTGTCATTGATGTAATGAACTCCACCAATGTGTAATGAATGACGACAACATATGCTTATATTTTTAAAAGCCTATACTGTAAGATCCTGGGAATTACAATTTCACTTGGCTATCATATAATAATCTGTCCAAAAAAGTAATAATCTGTTACAATAATCTGTGCAGTAAAATTTTCCTGGACAGATTACATGAACCCTTATCTGTCCACCAGAACCCTCTTATATCGCCTTGTTGGTATTATTGGTTCTTCTTGGGGGGGTTTACGCCTTGTCTCATCTTGGTTTGTCTCATTTCTGGATTTGGTAAATGGGTTATCTGAGAATTCAGAATAGTATTGATGGTTTTGGCACTTTGAATTATGGGTTTTATTAATTTGTTAGTTTTTGAGAATTGAAACAGCTAGGTTTTAAAGTATTTGTCACTTTGTGGGATTGCGTATATGCAATTTTGATCATTTTTGCGGATTAGATCTTCCATTAAGTATGCCCTATTATGAATATTATTTTTACTTTGATGTATTGAACATTGTTCTTGGACAGATTATTGCAGAAATATGTCTGGACAGATTCTATTCCTGGACAGATTATCCCTGTCTGGACATAATCCCTGTCTGGACAGATTATAACAGATTGGAACAGATTTGATTAATATATTACCTGTTAGCAATGTGTAATCATAGAATTGCCCAGACAGTTGGACAGATCTGTTATTGGGCAGGACTATCCAGACAAATTTGTTATTCATAATGCCTGATTAATTCTTGAATGTTGGTAGTTTAAAATTTTCTTGGTTCATTCATAATGCACAGATTCCCAGATTTATAAGTTATTCATTTTGGTAATAGTGTACTCCCGTTGTATTGTATTACAGGTTGACAAAGAGTGTTGCAAGTTTAGAACAAAGAGGTTGGATCACGAGGAATTAATGCGTCGTGTTTTCACGGGGGCTGCAGCAACGGGAAAAAATGCTTGGACGCCTGGTGAGATGCGGAACCAACTGGAGGTGGAAGGGGAGTCCGATAGTGCAGACTTCTCTACGAACAGCAACGAATTGGGTGCCTCTGAAACTGCAAACATGATGAAATCTGCAAACATTACCACATCCGGTAGTGGTAGCAAAAGGAGGCACTCATCTGTCACAGCCGTGCAGAAGAAACGAATCACCGGGGCAGAAGCATTGGCAACAAGCATGGATGATTTGGTGAATTCGGTGAAGACACAAAGTAAGGAACTCACTGTTAACCATGTTGTCGGTGGACAAAGTGTCGCTATGGCCGAAGCTATCCGACATCTTTATGAAATTCAAGGACTTGAACAAACTAATCCACTGCTCCATTTCGGTATTTCCCTTATGGAGGTGCCCAATAATAAGGAGATGGTTATGAGTATTCCTTCCAATGAAGGCATCATCGGCTGGCTCCAGGTAAAGCAACAAGACAAAGAGAGGATGACAGCAGCTCCAACTCTTGCAAGCATATTGCGCAATCAAGGACTTCGTTTCTAACTATGCTGTGTGTTGGACTTGCTATGGGTTATGTGTTGGACTTGTTTTCGCTTATGCGTTGGACTTCGCTTATATTTGCTAAAGGGCTACGTTTTAATGAAATGCTTTGTGTTGGACTTCTTTTCGAACTTGTTTGTTATGTATTTGCTAATGACATGATGTTTTCAACTATGCTTTGTAAGGACAATTGGTAGGGAGATGGTTATGCTATTCCTTTTCTTTGCCTGGTTTTCTAATTATGGATGTGCATTGGTTGGGTATTGGCTATGGATTTTACAATTTTAAATTACAATAAACCATGAATCTGATTACACTCTTCCAATTTGCAGCTTCATAGTTATGTAAACAGTGGTTGTAAATCAGCTGTACTGGACCATTTGAGCAAAAGCGTTGCTACTTGCAGATAGACATGTCCAGTTTACTGAAGCCTTCAACTTAAAAATTGGAAGTTAGACCCGTTGTAAGGCACTAGACAAGCAAAATAATTTAAGTTATTATTTTTGTATATTTTAATTTAACATTGTGTTTTTGTATATCGCACTGCAATTTCTGTATCGCTTAGTAGTCATATAAAAGGAAAAATTTTTTTGCTTATTTATACATCAAGTAAATGTCTTCACGATTTCACCATTGCTAACAGAACTACTTTAATACAATAGAAGGTCTCAGAAGAACTTATGCAAATGAAATAAATTGATTATTTATGCATAATACTCCTGTTATTGACAGCCTTAACAGTTTTTTTTACAAAAATTAATTTTTGCATGTTTAATTTTGGCAGAGTAGTAGTCTGTCATGTTATGCTTCTGATTTTCTTTGGAGTTATGTGATTTAGGCATGGAAAGCGACGATGACACCGATGCACGGATGCAGGAAATGTGTGATGATGTCGCGGCGCTCGCAATCGAGTGGCAGACTGGAATGAATAATAATTATGTTGAAGCGTACAGAATTGCCTCCGACTACTGCAGGGCGCACGTGCTTAAAGTTCCATGTCGGACGTCCATCTTGACGGGGAGGGCATGGATTTTGGAATTGTATAATGGACACAGTGGCAGATTTCGCTATGAACTGTGCATGCCCAAAGTCGTTTTTACCCGTTTATGTGGCACACTAGTGAACGACTCCGGGTTGCATGTACCTGAGCGGGACCACGGCTTGCACGTTGAGGAGAGTGTTGCAATCTTCATTCACGTCCTAAAAAACTTGCCTAACCGCGAGCTTCAAGAAAGATTCCAACACTCCGGTGAAACAATATCACGCCATTTTCATAATGTTCTGAAAGCAATGAAAAAGTTTACCGTCGCGCACTGTCGGCCGCCCACAGATTTCCAAAACAGGAGGGATCCCCACCTGCAGAGCCAACCACAGTATTTGCCGTTTAAGGTGCGAAAAAAATGCAACAATTCGAGGTTTTTTTTCGCAAATTCTACAAAGATGTGACTTCAAAAAATTGCGCGGCTATAATGCATGTCATCATGGTACTAATACGTTGCCTACTTGTTCGAATTGTGTAGGATTGTTTAGGTGCATTGGATGGGACACACGTGCCAGCGTGCATAAAAGAGTCGGAAGCAGCCCCGTATTTTAGCCGAAAGGGTTGCCACACTCAAAATATTTTGGCAGTGTGTGATTTCAATATGTGTTTTGTATTTGTGTCATGTGGTTGGGAGGGTAGCATGCATGAAAGCCGGATTTTAAACATTGTGACCGAGGATCCGCAATATAATTTTCCAACTGCAGTGGATGGTACGTACGCATAGTTTATTTGTTCAATGCCATAACTTGTTAAATTTTTTGGCCCACACGTGAAACAAAAATGTATTAATATGTACACATTCACAGGTCGCTATTATCTAGTAGATAGTGGATACAGTAATAAGAAGGGATTTCTCGCACCATATAAGGGCAGCCACTATCACCAACCACACTTTCAACGTCACAAGCTGAGGAATCGTGATGAGTTGTTCAACCGTGCCCACTCTTCATTGCGGAGTGTAATTGAGCGAACATTTGGCGCTTGGAAGTCGCGGTGGAGATTCTTGCACAATATGCCTCGGTTTGACTTTCGTAGAGTCCAGGTGCCGTTGGTGGCTGCATCTATGGCATTACACAATTTCATACGCAGAAACTGTGAGGATGATGCGACCATTGCTGCTGTCAGAAATGCGGCGGAGTACACGTATGCCGATATTCCCGATCGCGCAGATTTGGCTGCCCTGCACGAACCCGTGGTGGCTACGGACAAGGACGTTGAAATGGCGGAGGTGCGTCATCGGATAAGGGCTAAGTTATACCAAATTCGGCGCAATGGTAGGTAGTCGGACAGTGTTGTTTACCATGACTGCTTTTAAATGTTTTCCGTAGTATGTGTTTTGTGAAAACTGTCACTAATGTCTTGTTTTGTACTTTTGTATGCATAACGTACAAAACTGTTTAGATATTTGAAGATGTACGAATTTGTAAAAAAAAACTTTCAAAGTCGTCGTACTTTGCATGCGTGTATGGTTAATGCAAAATCCCTATTTCACAGATTGTCATAACGAATTCCGTCACACATATTACATGCATTAACTGTAAAGTCTATAATTGTGCCCAAATACATCACGTAAAAAACATGGCACAAAATTGTCTTCAACCAACTAAAATAAAAATCAGTATTTCAGAAATACAATAAAAAAAATAATGTATTTGATCACGATTTCAAATAAACTACTTTCAATATTGCAAATTGACAATAATTAAAATTTTATTTTCCAAGTTTCATCTATAACACCACAAACATTACCAACGAAAGTGTCAATGTTATTCATTACGAAATTTGTTTTCGAAAATGTTGTGGACATCAAAGAAATTACCATGTCTGTGGAACGGACACCTATGTCAAATTTAAAAAAAAAAAAAATTGAAAATTTACCAAGTTTACAAAATTGTGAATTTTTGAAAGTATGGGTGTGTGTGGTTTGGTTTTGGGAGATAAATTTATAAAAAAAAAAAAAGAAAAAAAAATTGGGGCAAGCATTGACAAAAGTTTTTGGTTTGCTTGGTTGTATATTTTGGAAATAGTTTCCCAGTGTGGGAATTTAAAAAGATTGTACATATGGGATCACACACATTGTAATTGACCAAAAATTAATTAAAAAAATAATTGAATGAAAAATTTAATTGGACAAAAATAATTGGGTAAAAAACTAATTCGAAAAACTTTGAAAAAGAAATGGAAATTATTAAAAAAATAATTTAAAAATATTAGTTGGGAAAAAAATATTTAATCGAAAAGGTTAATTGGAAAAAAAAATTAATTGAAAAAAAAATTGAAAAAAAATTTATTTGAGGAAAACATTACTTGAAAACAAATTTTGAAAATAAATTACATTTGATAAAAAAATTAATTGAAAAAAATTGATAACTGAAAAAGTTTCTTCATTTTTTTTATAAAAAATCAAAAATTCACGTATTTAGAATATTTCAAATCATCCCTAACAGGGGTTTTGACAAGAGACTAAAAAAGTCAAAATACTACTTTTACCTCATTTTAAATCATATCATTTTTTATATTAAACAATGAAAAAAAAAATAAAAAAATCTAGAAAGTCAGCTTTTAAATCAAAACACCCCTAATTCTCAGCCACCACCTATCTTAATTTTTAAAATTTAAAATAAATTTTTAAGAGTTGTATTTTTCTTACGAATTTGTAGATTATTTTTGATAATTTAAATTATTCACTTTATAAAACTCTCAAAATATATTATTCATGTAAAAATTTAATTTATTTAAAAAATTATAACTTTTTCATTAATCATTCTTAAATAATAATCCTTCTGGTCCTCTTCGTAATTAATTAGTAGCCACTCATTCTATCAACAGCATAAGTCGTTGTCTTGTTGGTGCTTGTTGGCCCCCCTCCAACGCCTAAAGATATCAAAGCAATAGGAAATTTTAAAAAACATGGAAAATAAAAAATTTAATTTGAAAAATTTAAACTAAACAAGTACATAAAATATCCAACCTTCACCCACAGGCATTCAGGGCATTATATCACATAAGCAAATAGCCTCATGGTAAGCATGCTATTGGTGGTGGTGGGTGGGTGGGTGGTGAGTGGTGGTGGCAGAAGACGGTGGTGGGGGGTGAGTGGTGGTGGCAGAAGACGGTGGTGGGGGTTGGGTGGTGGTGGCAGAAGACGGTGGTGGAAAATGGTGGCGGGTGGTGGCTAGTGTTGGGTGGTAAAAAAAAGAAAAATTCAAAACTCAAAACGGATACGCATTTTTTAAGTTTACATTTTGTGGCCAAATTTATAAACAGAGACCACTGATTTATGTAATTGAAATTTACCAAACAAGTTTATATTTGAGTTGTTTAAATTTTGTAAATATAATTAGAAAATTGAAAACGTACGTGTTACAAAACGGCACACCAAACAGACCCTTTGTGTTTGGGAAGATAGTTGGATTTTTTTTGTGATTAGATGTGATATTTGTGACAAAAAAATTGAAATAGTATGGGATTTGATATGATATTTTGTGAGGGATTTGTTTTTTTGGGTTTTGAAAGACATTTTTGTTGTACTGAAAAAATAAAAAAATAAAAAAACTGAAAAGCCAAGTTCCCAAACACTCCCATAATTTGTTAGATTTTAAAAAAAAAAATTAAAATTTTTTTATTTTTAACGTAAAATGTGATGTTTCATAACAAATTATTACAATACACAAAGTACAATCCATATCCCATATACATAAAATGGTTATGTATATAAACGTAAATATTATTTACATAATATTACGTGACACGTGTAGAATTCTGTAAAAGAAATAAAGTTTGACCGTTATAAATTTAGTGAAATGCATTGTATTATTTACTAACATTACAGCACACAACCCTCCTATTGCGTTGTCCAAGAAAGCAAATTCACATCCAACACTTTGCAGAGGTCACTGACACATCCACAGGTACTCTGACATGCTATAAGGCCATTTCGGTCATTTTATCCCCTTTCTCATTATTTATCTTATTTTATTTCACATATTTTCGTAAAAATTCAAAAAGTTTATCCCAAACAATTAGATTTTTTTTCTTTACATTTTAACTAAAAAGTCAAAAAGTTACTAAAATAATCTGTTTCCAAACGAGACCTAAATCTAATTGGAACTGAACTCAATGAATTCTATTTAAATTTGACTGAACAAGTAAATAAATTATTAAAAAAATATTCAAACCTTGAGGAAAATAGTCAACACTATTTTAATAATGATGATCAATACTTAACAATTTAAGATTTCTCCTCATTCGTCATAGTTCTTCCGTTCTCTCAAGAATTTGTTGATGTTTAATGAAAAAAATATTCATTATATAATATAAAATGTATAGTTTATTGTATTAAAATATTTCAACAAAATCTTTAAAAAATTTAAAGGGATAATTAATTTTATCACTGTGATTTTGCGTGTTTACACATTACTTCTCTGATTTTTATAAATGTACTCATAAACCCCCTATGATTTGGAGTGATGTGCAAAAGTCATGGGATGTGATGAAATTAATGAAAAAACTAGAATACCCTTACTTTTTGGGGAGATTTTGTGATAGACTCATCACTATCTAAATTGTCTTTGAAAATGACAAGAATTATATAGGTACTTTTAAAACTCCCTAATATTTTAAAACTTGTTTCTTTTACTATATTACCCTCATATCTATCAGCTCTCTTATTAAGTCATTTTCACAGTATATTTCAGAGTAAAATTTTACTTTGAATCACAGTAAACTTTACTCTGATTCAGAGTAAAATTATGATTCAAAGTAAAATTTTATATTGTTAAGTAAATCAACATGTTTTTAACCAAAGTAAAATTTCAGAGTAAAACTTTACTTTGAAACATAGTAAACTTTACTCTGAATCAGAGTAAAGTTTATTATGATTCAAAGTAAAATTTTATATTGTTAAGCAAATCAACATGTTTTTAACCAAAGTAAAATTTCAGAGTAAAGTTTTACTTTGAATCAAAGTAAAGTTTACTATGATTCAGAGTAAAATTTTATATTTTTAAGCAAATCAACATGTTTTTAACAAGAGTAAAATTTTATTCTGATTCAGAGTAAACTTTACTCTAATTAGTAAAATTTATGTGTGAAATTCTTATTAGAGAGATTCTTATCAGAGAGAGAAAAAGAAAGAAATTGAATAGATCATCCATTTTAATAAATCGATTATCCATTGAACAAACTAAGTATGAACAAATCAATTCAAAAACTAATAAAAACACAAATCTATATTACAAGGATATATAACTACAAAACACACAGATCAAAAACTAAACAAAAACATCCAAATATCAACATAATCATAATTTGACTGAGGTAGCCATTTCAGAGAACACATCCAAATATCTCTCTATCTTTTGATTTCAAAGAATACATGTATTCAACAACACTCATACACAAATATATATATATATATACACATATATTCAAAACTCAGATCTGTGTTTAAAAAAAATATGTATAACCAAATAACTCCACCAAACATGCCTTTGTCGCCTCCTAGAGCACCGCGACAGCGTTGATCTAGAACCCTAGATTGGTATTGAACCTCAAATTGGCGGAAATGGTAATTGCACATCAACATATCTGCCTCTCTCTATATATATATATATATGTGTGTGTGTGTGTGTGTATATCTATAGCTAGAGTCCGGCGACAATCGTCGCCGTAGCCTTCGCATAATATACATACATACACTTACTTACCGATATATATACATATACACATGTATGTATGAGTCATATATACATACATGCATACATACACATATACATAGGAAGAGCAAATCAGCGGTGATGTGGCGGAGCTTGGCGTGTTTCCCGGAGGGAGCGGCGGAAGAGGATCGGACGCCAGCGGTGTTGGTGAGGTCGACGCAAGAGTTCCAGAGATGGTAACTGAGCTTTCAGATCTAAAGCTTGAAGGAGTTAAAGAAGGGAGAGAAGAAGGAGAGAGACAAAGAAGGTGGGAAGAAAGTGGGTGAAGAAAGTAAGAAGATTTAGTTGAGGGTATAATAGTCTGATAAAAGATTTAAATAATAAATTTTGTCCTTTATGCAAGACTTTATAATTATAAGGGGGTTCAGAAAGTATAATTTTTTTCTTAATCATTTTAACAATAAAAGGAAAGTAAATGAGGTTTATAGCCAAATTTCCCTACTTTTTTTCTTCAATTTTTTTATAAATGCCATTTTACTACCATAACTTTCTCTCTCTTAAATTGGACTACCCCACCACTCCCAATGGCATTACATCCACACAGCCACTATGAGGCACTATCTTCTCCACACAGCCCCTCCCACCTAAGGTATATCCACTCCATGACTAATAACAACACCATCGATTGTGGTTCCTCTGTCTCTCTCTCTCTCTCTTCATCTTCTTCATCATGATCTTCTTTAATAGTAGTCTCTTTTGACCATCCCCTCTTTGTTCTTTTATTCCTCCCACCTGCTCCAAACTTTCATCCTTAACCCCCCATTACATTTCCCTCCATCTCTCTATCTCACTGAAAGATTGGTAAGGAGGGAGAGAACAGAGAGAGACTGAATTGAAGAATTGGTGTTGTTATGTTATATTTCAGTACATACAAGAGAGTGAGCTCCCTCTCTTTATAGAGAGGAGAAGGAGACAAATGGAATCGGATGCATAGGCTAATTACATTGAGATATGCTAAAGCTAAAGTGAAAGTGTGGCCTTTACAGCTACAAGGCCCTTTACAGCTATACATGTTAGTGGGGTGTATAGTGGGATGTATATTATATGTTAACAGCCCCCCGCAAACTCAAGGAGGGTAGGCATCGACCAAGTTGAGTTTGGAAACAAGATCACGGAAGCGCCCAGGAGGATGAGCCTTGGTGAAAATATCAACAGGTTGATCGGTAGAAGCAATAGGGAGAAGATGAACAGTACCACGTGTAACATGCTGTCGAATGAAATGACAATCAATCTCAATATGCTTGGTGCGATCATGAAAAACATCATTGTGAGCAATCTGAATGGCACTCTGATTGTCACAATAAAGAGAGGTAGCGCCAGAAGAGGAAACACCCATATCAGTGAGGAGCCAGCGAAGCCAGAGAAGTTCCTGAGTAGTATCAGCAACAGCTCGGTATTCAGCTTCGGTGCTAGAACGGGCAGTGAGGGATTGTTTTGTAACAGTGGCCGGAGCAGGACATGAGGTTCCTCTTCACCGCCCTCGACAAGCTTATATTCTTTTCAGATCATTTCTGGGTAACAAGCCCATGCCAAGCTAAAAACAAAAATAAAAAATAAAAAAAAAAAACTACTTGGTTTAGCTTATTTAATTCACGAAAATTTATAGAAATCTTAATTTATTGAGGCTAAGAAGAATGAATATTTAAGGGGACCAACACTGGGTTGTGTCCTCTGCATCCTCCATTGACGATTGTCAAAGGAAAAAATATTGCTTCAAGATTCGAGTGTCTGGAGTAGAAAATTCTATTCTTTTCAGGTTTGTTTTTTTTTGGATTCATAAATCATGTAAGTGTAATTTATACACTGTTTTGAGGTTTACTCATTAGAAGTGTACATGATTGAACATTCTCCTCCATGGTTTCCAAAAGATTTTTGGTAAAATATTATTTTAATCTTAATAATGTTCTATTGAATCGTGATCGGTAAAACTGTAGCTTTCTTGATTGGTATTTTTAATGTATTTCTCTCTATAAATGTGGAAAAATTAACAGTGGATTTATTTTTTAAGGATTTTGTAAACAAGTACTGACAATTGTTAATAAACTTAAAACAATTGTACATTCTCCATGAGAGTAAGTGTCATAAAGAATTTTTAATTATTTTAAGCTCATTAAGGCACCGTTTGGGAAGAAGTTGGTTGGGCTTTTTTGGCTATTTTAGTCATAAAAAATAAAATAGGCTATTTTAGCCATAACAAACAAAACATCACATCTAACCCATAATCATTACACTCTTCTCTCACAAAAAAAGTCAAAAAAGTCAAAAAGCCCTTCGATTTCCTATGTTTGACTGTTTATGACATGTGTAAATTTTATGAATACCAATCATGCCACTCTAGAAGCAACATTTAAAATTGATATCAGTACTTCACAAAGTTACTTCACTTGGTTCTCTATTGACAATTAAGGCGAGCAGCAGCAACAGCCAGTAAACTGCGAACAGAGGTAAGCCGAGCAACAGGAGCGAAGGTTTCCTCATAATCAATCCCATATTCCTGGTTGAAACCCTTGGCAACAAGACGAGCTTTGTAGCGTTCAATAGAGCCATCAGAGTGGGTCTTGATTTTGTAAACCCATTTGCAGCCAATCGCAGTTTTGCCAGGAGGAAGGTCAACAAGATCCCAAGTATGAGTTTTGTCCAAAGCCTGAAGTTCATCAGTCATAGCTTGCTGCCAAAGAGGATTAGTACAAGCCTCACGATAGGAGGTAGGTTCATAAGTAGAAAAGGCAGCAGACCCAACAATATAATCACGAAGGTGGATAGGAGGTTGAGTTACCCGGTGTGGTCGACCCGTAGGAGGATCGGTGGGAGGAAGAACCGGTGGAGAAGAAGGTGGTGCAGGGAGAGGTGGACCTTCAGGGAGAGCAGTCCGGTCGGGAGCAGGAGTGAGCAAGGGCGTCTCAAGGAAGGAGGGACCTGTATCAAAATCATCAGAGAAGAGATCGATGGAAGGATTAGTAAACAGTACATTAGTGGAAAGTTCAAGTAAGTGAAAGGAGGAAAGAGAGGAAAACATTTGGTGCTCCCAAAAAATGACATGGCGGGAGATACGAAAACGTTTAGAGAGAGAGTCCCAACAGCGAATACCTTTATGTTCAATTCCATACCCAAGAAAGCAACAAAGACGAGAACGCGGTTCAAGCTTGGTGCGTTCATGAGATTGAAGGAGAACAAAGCAGGCAGAGCCAAAAACCCGAAGATTAGCATATGGAGGGGGAGTACCATGCAGACGTTCAAAGGGAGTTTGATTATGGATGACAGGGGAAGGAGCACAATTGATAGTGTAGACAGCAGTGAGGGCAGCTTCCCCCCAAAAGTTTTCAGGGCAGGAAGAAGAAAGAAGGAGAGCGCGAGTAGTGTCAAGAATATGCCTATGTTTCCGTTCAGCACGGCCATTTTGCTGGGACGTGCCAGCACAGGAACGATGAGGCATTGTACCATGACTCTGAAGAAAAGAAAGGAAATCTGAATCCCGATATTCCATAGCATTGTCGGAGCGAAAGAGTTTGATGGTTTTGGAAAATTGGGTGTGGATCATTTGGGCAAATCGATAATAAAGGGTTTTGAGGTCAGACCGAGTTTTAGAAAATTGGGTGTGGATCATTTGGGCAAATCGATAATAAAGAGTTTTGAGGTCAGACCGAGTTTTCATGAGAAAAATCCAGGTAAACCGTGAAAAATCATCAATGAAAACAACAAAATAACGAGATCCCCCCATAGTAGTGGTAGGGGAAGGGCCCCAAATATCCGAATGTATAAGATCAAAAGGTGCACAGGAAACAGAAGTACTTTTATTGAATGATAAAGCAGGTTGTTTGGCAAGTTGACAGGGTATACAATCGAAAGTATCTGGAATTACATGACCCAATTGTCCACTAGAAACCAAAGACTTTAAGCGAGTAATAGAAATATGTCCTAAGCGACAATGCCAAAGATGAAAAGGAGATAATGAGGAAGCAGATGCAGGCGCAGCGATCTGAGGAGAGGCAGGAACATGAAGGTGAATGAGCTCATAGAGACGTCCGTGCTTACGGCCGATCCCAATAGTCTGCCTCGTCTGAGGGTCCTGCACCAAACAATGAGTAGCAGAAAAGGTGACAGTTAGACCAAGTTCACATAATTGACCAATAGAGATAAGGTTTAAAGTGAGAGCAGGGATATGATAAACTTGAGGTAAAGTTAAGAAAGATGTGGAAACAGTACCAAGATGACGGACAGGCATGAGAGAACCATCAGCAGTTTGAATTGAGGGAATATGAGGAGATGAAGAGATAGAAGAAAAGATAGTGGAACTGGAGGTCATATGATTACAACAGGCAGAATCAAAATACCAAGAAGAGTTACCTGGAATTACAGACAAAGCAGTAGGAGGAGGTGTACCAGAAGGGGAGAGAAGGTGTTTGAACATGGCCTCGACATCTGTTGGAGAAAAGAGAGGGGTAGACGGAGTCGGAGACTCAGAAAAACCCTCAGCGGCAGCAGCAGCAGTGGCAGTGTGAGGAGACTGATTGCTAGAATGAGGTTGATTCCTAGAACGATGAAAGCTCCCCCGAGAAGAACCACCGCGAGAAGAGTGGCTGTTGGAGGATGAGCGGGATGGATGGCGAAACCAATCCTGTTACAGATGACCAGGACTAAGTTTGTTGCAATATCGGCAGGTTCTGACCGGGCAATTGACCAGGAGATGTGTGGAAGGAAGGCCCCGATTCTGACAGTAGAGGCAGACAGTGGTCTGCTGGGTGAAGGATGGCCGGTACGGGGGAGTGGCAAGAACAGAGTCCACATGATGAGTTTGGAGAGTACCAAGACGAGTCTCTTCTGATAGCAACTCAGAAATAGCTTGTTCCAGAGTGGGCAAGGGATGGCGATGAAGAAGAGAGGCACGTACGGGCTCAAAAGATGAAGTGAGAGCCATGAGAAAGTGTACCAACCGTTGCTGATTACGATAAGCAGTAAATAAAACAGCATCTTCTGGGTGAGGCCAAGTTGGTTCGGAAAGAGCAAGCTGGTCCCAAACGGAGTACATTTGAGAAAGGAAGTCATTGATGGACTGACTAGATTCTTGGCGCATCCGATGAAGTTGGCTCTGAAGTTGGTACTGATGAGCAAGACCAGTAGTCTGGTATCGTTCTTTCAAAAAATCCCAGATGTCTTTTGCAGGAGTAGTGACAGAGTCAAGCTGAAAGCGACCAAACTGAAGACTGATAGAGGTAACAGAAGTATTTCGAAACCAGGTAATGATTTGGTAATTCTTATTGTCCCATTCCTCAAGGCGATCTTCATATGTAGGAGTAGCAGGAGAAACAGTGGTTTCAACAGTGTCTTTGACCGGTTGGGTTATGTCCCCGGTGATAATTCGCCAGAGCTTCTTTCCTTTGAGGAAAGAAGACATGGCTTGGGCCCATAGAACATAGTTAGAACCATCCAAAATAACGGAAATGGGATGGGAGGCATCAGGACGATCCATAATAATAGTGGAGTAGGGCTAAATAGATAAGGATAGACCTGTAGGAGCAAAATTAGGTAAAACAGAGTGTACCAGTGAGTCCGGAAGGTCGAAAATAGCTAGGAAAGGTGGGCTGTGTAGAGATGATGTCAGCAGGATGGAAAATGATGTCAGCGGTGCACGTTAGCAGAGAGGGCGTGCGGCGCACGGTAGCAGAGGGGGCTGGCGGCGTATGGTAGCAGAATGGCGCACGCTGGTGCACAATAGCGGAACGACGTACGCGCGGCTCACGGTAGACGAACGGCGCACGCGGGTGCACGGTAGCAGGCGCGGCGCACGACAGGGCAGGGTGGAAGGCGCGTGGCAGCGCGTGTGAGCGTGGCAACGGAAGCAGAGACGCGCCGAGCAAAGGAGCGGCGCGTGAGAGCGCGTGAGAGCTTTTCTGGTGATGGGCTTGGTGCCGTTGGAATCGTAAGGAGATTCCGAGCTGTTTGGTGTATTCCACTGTGTACGGGACTAAGCACCAAAATTGAGGGATGCCAGAATTGTATTTCTGTGCTCTAATACCATGAAAGATTGGTAAGGAGGGAGAGAACAGAGAGAGACTGAATTGAAGAATTGGTGTTGTTATGTTATATTTCAGTACATACAAGAGAGTGAGCTCCCTCTCTTTATAGAGAGGAGAAGGAGACAAATGGAATCGGATGTATAGGCTAATTACATTGAGATATGCTAAAGCTAAAGTAAAAGTGTGGCCTTTACAGCTACAAGGCCCTTTACAGCTATACATGTTAGTGGGGTGTATAGTGGGATGTATATTATATGTTAACACTCACAATATATTCACACACAGAGACATACCTCTCTAGGTATATGATTAGTGTTATCTATTTGATTATTAGGTGGGTTTGATCTCTCCATAGATCTGAATTTTTCATATTTGACAAAAACTAGAAGATGGATAGTTGTTTGTCTACCACCAAGGTGAGTGGGTCAAACAGCAACACCACCGCCGTCGCCGTCGCAACCACTACTGTAACAATCAATAGAAACCGCAAAGAGAGCACCAAACCGTCGTCAACGACGACAACCACGACAAATTCGAATCAACAGAAAACGCAAGAGAGACATTCTCAACAACAACAGCAACAGCGCAAGAATTCTCAGCAAATTAAGCTGAAGTGATCAAGCATTGTTATTCCCTATGGAAAGCAAACCAATTTTGGGTATGACAGATTTCGATAAGAGGTACACGATTGGGAAATTATTGGGACATGGGTAATTTACTACCATAACTTCCTTAAATTCTCCTTTTTCAACCCTTATCAATGGCAGACAAATTCTCATCATCTCATCAACTATCAACAACACCGCCGATTGCGATTCCTCTCCCCATCACCACCATCAATTGATCAAAACCTTCCCCCACCCATCTATCATCTGTGTGTGTGTGTGTGTGTGTGTGTGTGTGTGTGTGTGTGTGTGGATGTATGAAATCTACCACAAGGGAAGATCAACTCCGGTTGGTGGTGAGGCAACTGGTCTGCCGCTGTAGCCAGGTTGAAGCAAGAGAAGATGTGAAATAAACCTGTTCCCATCACATTTGATTCAAATTTTACATGAGAAAGAGAATGAGAGACAGAGAGAGAAATAGAGAAAGAGAGAAAAATCAAAAACTTGGGTAGAGAAGAGAGAGAGAGAGAAGGAAGGGGGGCTGGTTTTGTTTTTATATTGTTTGGTTATAATCTTTAGGTATTTCAACTAAGAGATTACAAGGGCAAATTAGTCAATTCAAGCCCCAATTTTGGCACTAATCACTTAATCCTAGTGCAAACACGCTTCTCTGACACATTTGGCCCACGCGCTGTTAAATCTAGCGAAAAACATCACTTTTGCATATCACTCCAAGAGTTCGGATCCTCAGCCGCGTTTTCCAGCGGCCTGTCCTGCGGCGCCCCAAAACGACGTCGTTTTGGGGCGAGATTTCAATTTTAAAAAAAAAAAGAAAAAAGAAAAAAAAGACAGAACATGAGCAACAGAGGGAGAAGAAGAAGAAGCCTCCCTTCACCCATGGCGCTACCATCTCAAATTTCTCCAAAAAAAAATTTGCCGACCAATTTCCTACTTTTTTTCCTAGAAAACAATACAAAACTTGTCTAAACTTTTCTCAGCAACCAAACAAAAAGGCAACAAAGAACCAGCGCTTACTCCTCCGTTGGAAAGGGCAATGGCCATAATAGCTGCAGCTTCCATGACCCACGAAAGAGGGTTCCACATAAACCCCAAAAACTTCAAAATCTTACTCTCCTGTAAGCAAAAAATCAAAAAATTAAAAAATTAAAAAATTGTAACCCCCAAAACACCTCAAATTTCTACAACAACAAAGACAAATCAAGAGGTAGAAATTTGTCTTTCTTACAACAAAGACAACATCAAAACCCATCAAAGCACACCTTCACTGAATAAAAAATAACACAGAGAGTGTAAAAATCACAACAGAGTCAGATTCAGTACCAAATCAACAGCTTCCTTCTTGAGAGCCTCCATTAATTCATCTTTACTTCCCATCTCGGTCTCTTTCAATTGGTATCAACAGATCTGACTCAACAGTTCGGCAAACGGCGAACGATCGACAACGGACGATCGGGAGGAAACGGCAACGAGGATGATCGGGAGAAAACAGCAACGATCGGCAATAGTCCTTTCTCTCTTCCTCACTGCTTCTTTCTTCTTCTTTTCTCTCTTCTCTATTTCTGATTCTTTGTTTTCGTTTATTTTTTTTTTTTGGAAATCTCGCCCCAAAACGATGTCGTTTTGGGGCGCCGCAGGACGAGCCACTGGAAAACGCAGCCGAGGATCCGAACTCTCACTCCAAACCATAAGGGGTTTATGAATACATTTATAAAAATCAAAGAGGCAATGTGTAAACACGCAAAATCACTAAGGGATAAAATGTAATTATTCCAAATTTAAATTAATCATATTTCCTAATTTTGGTGACCTTCCAACAAACTCTTTAAAAATAAAGTTGTTTTAGTTCATCCCTTCCAAACTCTCCACATATGAAGAGTTAAATAGACTCTCCAAATTATCAAAAGTATAATTAAAATACACGCTAACTACAGTGGTAAGGTGAAATAGAGGATGCACTTTTTTATTTACTTTTGTTGATATATAATACCGCTCTATGCAACTATTTTAAATATTTAAAAATTCTTGAGCTATTAATTTGTGATTATATTTTAATTTTTAAATAATAAATAATAATTCTAATCAAACAATTAAAGACAAATTAACACAACAATTTAACATGCAAAAATCACAATTAAAACACCTCCAATTGTGATAAGAAAAACACAGGCCAAGGCCACAAAACAATCCACTAAAAAGAAAAAAAAATTACACAAGTGTACTCTTAATTATCTAGCAAATTCACACTCAAATTAAACCAATCCCGATGTGCCTCTTCCACCACGTCTTCACCTCGGAGTTGTCTTGTCCAACGTTAAATTCACAACGCTGGTGTCAAATCACGACGATGAATCACTCCAGAATCCACCAAAACTTCAAGCTCAAGTTTCTCAAAATCCACTGAAAAACAACTATCTTTTGTAAATAAAACAATAATAACAACCATTGATGTTCGACAATCTAAAATTCATTGATCAATCGATCACCTTATATACACCAAGAAAACTCATATAAACTAGCCTCCAATATAAAACACTTTATTTTTTCTTCATCTCTGAAAATCTAAACGACTCAAACCTTGAAAACAACAAACTGTACACTTTATAATAAATTGAATCGCAAAGACCGCTCGAGTGCACATTTCACCACTCGACTGATATGACTAAAGACGATGCGAAATATATAGGCTAACCGCTCGAACATAACTTTCACCACTCAAGCGGTAAAACTTTCTACCCAAAAGTTCAAAAGCTTTGCAAAAGTATTGAATGATCATTTTCTTTGCTTGAGCGCACAAATGACCGCTCGAGCAATCAAACAATTTCGACTGTATTTTTGCATTTTGCTTCGAGAGCGTTACCCTCTAGACCACCACGAGCTGACTAGACAGCTCAATTCCTATACATAATTAGCGAAATGACAAACATAAAATGATTAAGATCACAAACTCCTCTATAAAACAGAATTCAAATTGAATTCACATCTAAACACTCATAGCCTCACTGAAACAAAAGAACGAATAAAATTATAACTTAAAAAAATTTTGTCAAACGAAATTACCAATTACAAAAACCTAACAAAACTCACAAGACACAATGTCAATTGCCCAAAAAATAAAAGTGAAGCTCTTCCTAACCAACACTAATTGATTTTTTTTATTTTTTTTTTTATTTTTTTGATAAATCCAACACTAACTGATTTTAAGAGATGGTGAAACTTAATTCAATAAGTGATATCAAAACCAAGTTGTCCATTGATATATTTGCCATTACATAACAAAATTTTGGACTTTCAATATTATTAATCATCAATATATCAATTGATATTATCCGGTATGTGCCCGTATCATTGATCCCTATACATATTCCAATAATGTTATTTAAAACCATGATTAAGAGCATCCAAAGAATGCATTTGGAAGTTGGAAGGAACAATATGCATACAACAAATGAATCTGAGAGTACTGGAGAGGCAGTTAACTCTACAGTCGGAGCTTTTTGCATTTTAGACCACTCACAATGAAGGATCAAATATAAACAATGTTACATTTTTTTTCCTTTCGACAAACATGGCTAGATCAATGAGCAACAACAAACTTTCTCATCTTTCCACAACATATTGAGACCTGGAAAATGCATTATATGTTCACACCTTGTAGATCTGATTATTGACCTGCCTTTCCAAAGAAGTGTTCCATCTGCAAGCATCCCCGAGACTGCAAACTACTTGTTTTAGCTCCATACTTGCATCTCTTTGCCAAAGTTGAAGTTTCCCTACCATCCTACACCAAAAGAGTTATTAGAAACAACAAATGAAAATACATTTCCTCTATTTTGTACAAAAATGCGACTTTGAACTTGAAGCACCAAGAGCTAGAAATGAAAAATATGAATAAAGAACTGCAAAGAGAGTTCACAGTTGAGTACACAAGAACCTGTTTGGCCATTTGGTGGTGTTATCATTTTTCCCATTTTGGTTTTTCTCGTTTTTCAAAACAAAAACAATGAAAAGTTCAATAACAATTTTAGAAGATTCGAAACAAAAACAATTTTCGAAACAAAAACAATGAATAATTTTCACTTTTGTGCAAAACAATTTTAGAAGATTCAATAACAGCTTTTTGATAATTTCTAAAAAGAGCGTTGTTTTCAAAAAATTCCAGAAAATAACTTTCAAAAGCAAATTTGCCAAACAAGTCTTCTATGTTTTCTGGAAAATGAAAACAGAAAATGAACACAAAACCAAACAGTTTTTCTTGTTTTTGGAAACAAAAACAATGAGAAGTTCATAAACACAACGTGTTTTCATTTTTGTGCCAAAACAATTTTCAAAAAATATAAAATAAAACTTTTTGATGTTTCCTAAAAACTGGGTTTTAAAAAAAAATCAAATAGTCTGTCAAAGTTTTCTGTATTTTCTGGAAAATGAAAACAGAAAATAGTAAATGAATACAACCAAATAGGCCAACTAGTGTCTCACCAAAATCAGGAACTTGCTAACAACTGCAAGTAACAAACTGTAGCCAAAACTAGCGTTCAAGTATACTTGGATAGATACTGAATGCACTAGGAAGAGCAAGTATAAAATTACTGATAAGAACAGGTACTCAAATCAATTAGAAGGTTCAACTACAAGGGCCCCAATTAAAAGTCAATGTTAAAGACTGTTTAATTAGAATTAAAGAAGAAAAACCCACCAATGATGACTGATTCAGAGATCTTAGAACTTTGATTTTACCACCTCTACCATCAGCTCCAACACTAATTAAAGTACCACTACTTGTCACAGCTGATCCCTTGCCCTGCGTGCGCTTGCACCATTTCCCCAAATGCCTAGTTGTTCCATCAGGACCCAACAACCCACCAGAAAAGCAAATATCTGAAGATTTTGAAGTTGAATTTTAAATAAAATAAACAAATAAAAAATTTAGAATGTCAGTTTCCTCTGGCGAAGATACATAAATCTCTTCAAACCAAATTTATACTTACAAGATGGCAAAACCCTAAGAAGCACGACACTTCTAAGAGGTAATGAATTGTGTTTGACACAACACTTCCTAACATTAGACACATAAGAAACACATTATAAATTTGAATAAAATAACTTATAACCCAATAATAAAACAAAATTAATATAAATTTATACTTATTCTCCTCCTTTAGACTTCAAAAATTATTATCTTTATTTAAATATTCATATATAGGAGTAATATTAATCCCTATAACATATAATAAATATACAAATTTTTATATTTTGAAAGTGTCCCCCATGCCATGCCCTTATTTTTCAAAACATTTTGTGTCAGCTTGTCTGTGTCGTGTCGTGTGTCCGTGTCTGTGCTTCTTAGGAAAAACCATTACGTTATTAGGGAGAATACCAGCTTGGGGAATCAGAACTGGACATGGTGTCTCTTTTTCAATGTGAAGAAAGGATTGAACTTGCTTGATGTCATCAAGAAGCAACACATCCTCATCCATAGCAGCAGATGAAGTTTTGGTCATATCGACCTTACCATCACTCCTTGAGCCCGAAACCGCATCCTTGTTACATGGTCCATGCACTACAGCATCAGCTTTTGTATCCAAAACTGCCTCTTGCCTTGACAAACAATTGGGTTGTGAAAATTCATGCATGACGGTAGACATTTCTGATTCATTCTCATCTATAAGAAAGTAGGAACCTTTATCAAGAGCAGTGCTACGTCTTTCATCTTTAGTATTCGTTATACCCTTATCCTTGGATGGCTTGAACTTCTCTATTTTCCTAGGACAAAATAAATCACCCATCATGTTTCCATTTTGATCCAAATTATTTTTCTGCTCAGTAGGTTTGTCCATTTGATAGTCAAAACACTTCTTGATGGATGAAGAGTTGGAATTCCAGTGGACATCATTCAGTATATTCCCTTCATGGGTAGTTTTCTTGGAAGTTTTTAAAGCCCTCAAAACGTCATTATCTCTTACTTCAGCAGATGTCTCCAGTTCTTGTATCCTTGTCTGATAAAGTTCACAAATTAGAATATCTTCTGAGTCATTAACCATGTCAGATTCACTTATTGGAGTCATAATGAATTTACCTTTAATTCCTTTATCTTCTCTTCTTTTGCCTTCTCAGATTTACGAAGTGAACGGGCCTCTTTTCCTAGATCCTTGCATTTCTCCATCAATTCTATGTAAGACCTGTCGAAAGCCATGCATCATCCATGAATTACATGCCTATTAAAAGCAAAAGACAATGAAACTTGCAAAGTAGCAAAATACAAGTGATACATTAGTACATTACTGTTAAAACCTATCACCTACTTCACCCACTCCACTACACCTACTCCACCCACTTCACCTACTCCACTTCACCTACTCCACCTACTACCTATTCTTCTCTTCTATATATAGGAATCATTGTAAACATAACAATATATGAATCAATAATACAATTCTTTATTTTTCTTTATACATTAAATTTCTACATGGTATCAGAACTGGTTTAGAACCTAGTATTTTCGCTTCACCGGCGGGCGGCAACCTCACCTTGGCCGCCCGCCGGACCTCAATCTAATCCGCTAGGACCTCTACACATACCTTCTCTCCCGCTGTTTTTGATTCGGAGTTAGCGGAAGCTGTCACTCTCTCAGTTTCCAGATGAACCATCATCCAAGCTAAAGCATGATGAGCGTGGTCTTTTATCAATGGCAGCAGCAGCATCTCCCGCAACTCGATCTCCCTCTCTCTCTCAGCCCCTGATTCTTCTTCATCAAGCAACCACCATGGCATAGAATAAGGAGCTTCCTCCATCTCAGCCACTGCCGTAGCCCCTCTCTCGGGCATGGGCTGTCTGTCTCTCTCGGCTCTCTCTCTCGGCTCTCATCTTGGTTGTTTTTTGGCTCTCCACCAACTATGTTTTTGTCTCTATAATTGATCTAGGCTTGGGATCAAGGAGCAAGGCCCCGGCAGATGTTTTTGTCCTCTTTGAAGAACGTCTGTAGATGTTCATTAAAGAATATCGGATGATGGAGGCAATGCTAGGAAAACTTGAAGATGAACATGAAGAGGCTATTGTCAAAATTGACAAATGATCTTTGCTATTCTGGTTTCCACCCCGACTTGCATAAAAACATGCTTGTCGAAAGGTGTGCTCAACCCGACATCTGTCCAGAATTCACTTTCAATACTTGTTCTTGATGAGGCAGATCTTCTTTTTCTTATGAGGAAAACATTTTTTTAATATTTTTACCTCAACCTCTCCCTCTCGGCAGACCTATGCACATGGGCACACACTCACCGCACAACCCAGATACACACACATGCACGACATCCCTCTCTCTTCATCATGTAGCCCACTCTCTCTCTATCATCATTCCACCATTTTGAAGTGAATAGTGCTGGTGGGCCCTACCACTAGCAATAGCAATTTATAATCATAAGTTCTAAACCAATCTCCAACAGCACAAAACATGCTCATATGCTTATCCAGCTCTCCCTCCACTTTATCACATGGGCTTGTCCCCTCTCTCTCCTCCTATCACGTTTGATTTTTAAAATCAATTATTTTTATTTGTTTTTTTTTTTTTCTTCAAATTACTTTTACACTCTTTTAAATATCCACATTTATTTTTCTTCCCCATCATTTCTTTTAAATTCCACCACTCTCTTTTAATATTTCTCTTTAGCAACTGCATTACACCCAATTTTATTTATTTTATTTTATCTTCTCTTTTCTATTAAAAAAAAAACTTTCTATTCATTCCATCTCATTTTTCTGCTCAGTCTTGTACCTTCAAGCCATTTGGATTTGCATAACAACCCATATTTTATTTATTTCAGGGATCAACCCCGATCACCATTTTACACACAAAAAAAAAACAAAAACAAAAACAAAAACAAAAACAAAAACAAAAACAAACAAACAAACAAAACAAATCCAACACCCACAAACAAAAGATTTGTTTTCTTTTTCTGCAGACGGTCATCCACCGACCTCATTTCTTCGCCTCTTCCGCCGGTCTTTTCTTCTTGCCTTCGTCCTGGGCGGTCCTTGACGGTGCTGCCTCCTTGTTTCCCACGCCGCCGAGCACGTTCACTCCCCCATACTCCTCCACTGCCGCATATGGCGGACCTCCAAATCGGAACATCACAGTGGCCTTCCGCTTCAGCTCCTTGTTTTCTGCCTTTAGCACACTTATCTCTGCTCGCGCATCCTTATACATGCGTTGGAGCAGAGCCAGCTGGGAGTTTAACTGTTGCACCTCATTTGTCCTGCTCTGCAGCCGGTGCGACAAGTTTGTGACCGCAGTCATGGTTTCCACACATGACTTCAATGTATACTGATTGGCTTCCACATCCGTTTGCACTGCCATTTTTTGCTCCACCGACCGCATCGGAAAGTTCAACGGAGCAAAACCAGAGGCGCTTGGTTGAGGTTCACTGGCCACCGCACCAGTTATCTCTCTTGTTGACTCGTTGAGGTCGGGAAAGAGAGTGAGCAGACCACGGGACGAAGAGGCCATATTCTGGGTAGCTGAACGGGAAGACGAGGCCATTTTCTGGGCAACAGAGTGTTCCAGAATCTCTTTCTCATAAACGGAAGAGGTTTTTTTCAAAGGATTTTCGCAAGTTTTTTTGTCTCAGCCTCCGTCTTGGTTAAATAGCCAAGGCAGACACGCGCATCGCGCGCCACTTGACGCCAGACGACAAAACGGGCGCGCAAGCCAATGTGGTGACGCGCCTCGCCATCATGTCCGGCACATCTTTTTATGACTTGGGCTCGCCTTTTGATGGCACGCCTTTTTATGGATTGGGCACGCCTTTTGATAGCACGCCTTTTGAAAGATTGGGCACACCTTTTGAGGGTGCGACTTTTTAAGGGGTCCGACAAGACTCTGTAAACTGTCCCGACATTGATTCCGGTTAGCTCCTTCATGGGTCCGACAAGACTCTGTAAACTGTCCCGACATTGATTCCGATTAGCTCCTTCATGGGTCCGACAAGACTCTGTAAACTGTCCCGATATTGATTCCGGTTCGTTTCTACAAGGGTCCAGCAAGACTCTTGTCACAACATTGTCTGCTACAACGGTCCGACATGACCCCATAAACTGTCTTCTACATCGGTCTGACACCGCCATCCAGTGTCCTCTACAACGTTATGACACCACCATACAGTGTCTTCACCAACGGTCTGACACGACCATACAGTGTCTCCTATCCTCTTTTATTTTATGTATTAATCTATTTTCTTGTTTTGTTACTCTCTCCAAACTCAAGTTGGTTAGTTCCTATCCCCCTTGAGTTTGCGGGGGGCTGTTAAAACCTATCACCTACTTCACCCACTTCACCTACTCCACTACACCTACTCCACCCACTTCACCTACTCCACCCACTTCACCTACTCCACTTCACCTACTCCACCTACTACCTATTCTTCTCTTCTATATATAAGAATCATTGTAAACATAACAATATATGAATCAATAATACAATTCTTTATTTCTCTTTATACATTAAATTTCTACAATTACTAATAGGTCTGACATGCCACCACCAAATCCACAATTATGCCAGACAATTTTGGTATGGTTAAGCTAACATTCTGTCCCCAACAGTAAACAGAAGCACACATACACATTTGGACAAAAAATCAATTATAGCTCTCATGACATGTCACTGCAACCAAAACTTCCATGAAAGCACCCCCAAAAAATGGGATGATGCACAAACTATGGAACATATAGATGCAGCCCTAGATTTCGGAATAGAAATTTATGCCAAACCTTTGGTCTACCCCCAATATATTAACCCAAAAATATGGAATAAAGCTGATACTAAAATCAATTTATCAATCAAATGTGGAGAAACTCTTGGATTGACATTTTAGTAGTCATTTTTTAATTGGTTAGAAACTGCCTTCCTTTCACTTTTTATATTCATAAAAGAGCTAAGCATCCAGTTAAGAACAAATATAGTTGTCAGCTAACTGTGTTATCTGTATGTTTGAACTGGAAACAGCTGGCTAATCATCGTTGTTTTGGTATTAAATTTTCCAGCAAATATTGTTTTGGTACTATGCCAATTTTATTTTTATGCTCCTGTTGAGAGCAAATGATTCATTTGACCATTATTGTTTATCTCTCGCTTCAAACACTTAGATTGCATACTGACACCTCAATGCGTGAAATTGATATGGTAAATGTTCCAATTCATAATTCCTTTCTAATAAACATAATATTAACAACAGTTATGTGATAAAAGAGATAAAAAGGGGATGTTTGCTATCTACATGCCAACGTTTGATATGGTGTTGAAACAGTCTAGCTTGTTTATTGTTTCAACCTGAAAACAGTCAAGCCTAAAACTAAACAGGAGAGAAAAGGAGACCATCCAGAATTTTAAATAACAACAATATGATTAAGAAAAATGAAAATGAAAATGAAAATGAAAGAGGGGGGGGAGAGAGAGACCTACTTCTTGCGAATAGCCAGTGTCTTGTTCAAAATGTCTATTGTGCCTTTGGTGTTCGCCTCATTACCTAAAGAAGCAAGTTTCAGAGCCTCTTCTTGTGTCAAGTCCAAATCAAAGGACCTAAAAACCAAATAACAATAATAATTAACAATTAGTTACACATAGAGAGCAAAAAAATAAATGGCTTTCTCTGCCACTGGTACAAAGGCACTTACAGCTTGAGTGTTGCAAGCTCTTTGGCCAAGGCCATATTCCTTTCCTGCAGCTTTGTGCACTCCAAAGTTGATCTATCAAGTTGCTATAGCACAAGAAGCAAAATGAGAAAGATTCAACTTAATTATACTGCAACATGGATATTTACTGAATATGGGGCAATGAGGGTTGTTTGAGATATATGTAAAACACATTGAATAAACTGGAAGCATTTGTATACCTCTGACTTAAAATGAAGTGATTGTTGAATAGATGCTTTTTGTCGCAAAGCTTCATTCTTCAATTCTGCTTCTTTCTTGGCTTGCTCCTTGCTAAAACACACCTGATACAGAAATTTCCATAGTCAAATCAGATTATATAAGAATCAAGAACAACTAAATTACGCATAGTTAGTTAGTGAAGCCAAATTGAATAACAATTGCTTTCAAATTAAATTTATAATATGGACCTGTTGAGGATCGGGGGCACACCAGGGAACTCAAACAAGCAATAACACACAAGATTTAACGTGGTTCGGCAGGTCGCCTACGTCCACGGGCAGCGGATTCACTATATTGAACAAAATGGTAAGAATTACAACTCTCTCAGTAATTCTCTCTCTCTTTGCTCTCTAAGCTCACACCTCTCAGCTGTGTTTCAACTCTCCTTAACTTCTCTATATATAGAGATTACAAATGCTAGAGTAATTGAGCTGGCTGCCAGCCCATTTCGGTAGCTTTCCAGATTGAGGCTTCATGGCCTCATGGCCTCATGGTATGGCCTCATGGCCTCATGGCCAACTCATGGCTTCCCCACCATGTAGCTGGCTGCTACTTTCCTTCACATGGAAGAATCTGTAGCCAACTCAACAGGACCGACCTAGAAAGTGGCAAGTAGGGGGCCCTCGTCACCCCTACAATTTCTCACATGAACTATTTTTAAAAGCAACAAAGAAATTTTGTCTTACGTCTCTCTCAAAACAAACTTTATTAGAAAAATATCAAGATGATGCAAAGAATACAAAAAATAACTAACCAAATCACACATCACTCGTGTGAAGCCTAAAATATGTGAACCAAATTAATTTTGTTTTTCTCTCTCTTCTTTATCTTCTTCCTGTACTGATGTGTATCAAAGTGTGGAAATGAAGAAGAACCAAAAAGAACTTTTGGCAAGAAGAGAAAGAAAACAGAGCACTGGAAAATAAAGAATATAGAAGAAAAAAAAATGGAAGAAAACAACTTCAATTCATTAACAAGACTTCATAACAATTTGGTACCCACATCTTATATACTACTTCCCTCAACAAAAACCTCCATTTGCAGACACCACTTGCAACATACTAACTCGAACTCAATTCCTAACCAACTGTATGTCTATATGGTTTGATGAAAGGCCCAACTAAGTTCTTGCTATCTCAGATTCAGCTCAGTTCTAGCTCAACCTAACTCTAGCTCTGCTTTGCTCTACCTTTATTGCTTCAGCTTATATCATTCCCTTCCCCATTTGAAAAGCCTTGACCTCAATCTTAATTTATGGGAACTTCTAGAGGATATCATAATAGTATTTCCAGGCAGCATCCTCTTGCATGAGAACTTTTGTAAGAATTTGATTTCCCCCTTTAATCATCCTTCTATCCAGAATGGCCGCTGGTTGTGATTGAAATTCCCCTTCATTGTTGACAGATGGTAGCAAGCTGTCAATTACAGCACTTTGGCCCAAATTTTATACATAACGGGGTAGGTTTTTAAACGAGAGGCAATGCCAATTTATAAGCTACCAACCCTGCCGCCTTATGCAAAATTTGAAAGGGTCCATAGTAACTAGGGGCAAGCTTTAAATTCTTCACTGTCTATATTGTCATCTATCTGTGCAATTTAAGATACACCCACATGCAAACTCCTCGAAGATTCACCTTTTACTAAAACCAACATGATTCCTAAGTAAGTGAAGATTTGTATGTGAAATTTGAAATATAGTGAGGGAGATTATGGAGGGTTTTGACCATAAGAATCAATGTGATGAAATTTTGTAAACTCAAGTCCCCTCTCCCTTCCTCTTTGGATATTTTTTTTAATGTATATATACTATATGCTTATATGTGTGTGTTAATATACATAAATTGAAAAATGATATGTCACCAGATGAGTTTCACCTGTATTTTCACCACCTACATTAATCCACTCAGGAAATGTGAAAATAAAAAAGGAAAATGTGCGTGAAACTAGATAAAATATAGATATATTTTATTCATATTACACCAACATTTTTACTTTTCCCTCTCAAATCCTCCAACCAAATGCAAAGAGAAAATTTTTCTAAGGAATTAAATTACTAATAAACATAAGCAAACCCAAGTTATAAATATAGTATGCCCATGTCAGCAAAGGTTTTGGTTGCTCTTTAAAAGTCCAGTTTTGTAATTTCCCTTTTTTTCCCCCTACATTATACAAGCAGCGAAACACATAGCAAATAAATCAAATTACCTGCTTACTGAGTTCTTTGATATCTTTCTGATGACGCTCTAAAGCCGAACCAAGACCAGAAATCTTGCCTTCCAATTTCTCAATTTCCCTGCGCAACTCTTCTGGATCTTCTTCGCAATTGATCGGTTTCTGAGAGAGGCTGGAACCGTTAGAATCGCCAACCGACTGGAAATAAAGCCGACCCACATTGGCCTCCGAACAGGTCTGCTTGCATACAGGACAATTTTTCTTCTTCCCATTTGAACAATACTCGAACCATTGTTGAATGCTAGGGTTTTTACAAAGGTAAATAACAGAATTTTCAATCGATTAATGTGAATGAGTGTGTGTGTATATATATATGTGAAATATGAATGAGTGATGACTGACCAGAGCTCGTGGAAGACGTGACCGCAAATGGAGATGGATTGGAGGTCTTCGACGATGGGTTTGAGATCTTCGTAGCAGATTGAGCATATGGTCTTCGCAAATGTGTTGCCGCATACCATCTCTCTCTGTCCCCCTCCCCCTCTCACTCTCTCTCTCTATATATATGTATGGAACATGGAGCGAATTTTGAAAGAGAAATTTGTTAGGCGGGAACGAGAGAATTCGAGAGACAAAAGGACAAATTATTGTGATAGTTTTTGGGTATGTTTGGTTTGGTTTTGAAAGAGAAGTTTTTAAAAATTATTTTGAAGAGAAAGTTTAGAAATTTTTTGAAAGTAGTTTTGAAATTTGGAAGTTTAGAATAATTTGATATTTTGTTATAATTGAGTAGATGTGTGTGAGAGAAAAAGTGATTGAGAATGAGAGAGGGGAGAGAAAAAGTGATTGATTGATAAGTAAAAGAGAGAAAGTGATTTTAGAAATTATTTTGAAAAATTTACAAACCAAACAAATTTTTTTTAAAAAAATTTCCAAAATCACTCTACAAATCCAAACCAAACATACCCTTTGTATTTTTTGTATCATTGGGCTCAATTTTAGAATTATGATTTTATATTTTGAATTTGTAAGTTATTGAATCATGATTGGGCCTTGTTTGGTTTGTATTTGAAAAACATGTTTTGAGATAAAAAGTACGAAAATTTGTTTGGCTTAATTTTTTTCAAAAGATATTTTGAAAAATTATTTTGAGAGAGAGTTTTGGAAAAAGTGATTGATTTGATGTGTATGAAAGAGAGATTTATTTGAAAAATTTGTAAATCAAACAAGTTTTGGAAAAAAAATTTGAAAAAATTTGTTTTGTTTGATTACTTTTGAAAACTTATTTGTAAAGAATTTTTCCCAAAATTTTTTTAGAAACACAAACCAAACAAGGCCCAATGCACTAAAAAAATGTATTTTTTTTAACATACATACATTTATTTTGGTCACATCTATCAATATCTTCTCTCTACTTTTCAAATTCTTTACTTTTTAACATATTTTTTTATAAAAAATCAAAAAATAAATTTATTTAAAACATCCCAAACCATCCCTAAATTTTGAAAATATTTTGAATTAAGTTTTGAATTTTTTAAATGAGTTTTCAAATAAAAAAAAAATTGTTTGATTATGAGTTTTCAAAACTTAATTTAAAAACTTACAACTCATCACTAAACACACAACTCAAAACTCTATTGAAAATTTTATTCAAAACTCGTAACTAAATTCTTTTTAAAATTAAATTCAAAAAAATCACTCTTTTTAAAAATGTTTTTTTTTTATTTTTTAAAAAATACTGTGACAATTTTTTTTAAAAAAATTAAATAAATGGCCAAATAATTTTTCATTTTGGTCTAAAAATAATTTCTATATTTAAAAAATATCAAAAACAAATATAAATTTTTTGTTACAAATAACAGGTTGCAATTGCCACAAAAAACAAAAAACAAAAAAAAAAAAACAACAACAACAACAACACTATTCTGGTCAACCGATCGAACGTCTGGGAATATGTCTGGGCAGACGATCAAATAGATCCAAAAATTGAAAAACTCTTCGAGATGATGTCTGGGCAGATGGCCGATTAAACCTAAAAATTCAAAAATTCTCTAGTTACCAAACATGTTGTCAAATGTGTTTTGAGATGTGGGGTAGGAATCAAATTTTAAAAACTATATCCAAATAGAGGGTTCACATATCAGGGTGGAATTATGATTCCAGCCCTGAGCCAAACACAGCCTTGGTTTTTATGTCTATCTATAATTTCAATTACCTCAGTTTTGATATTAAGAGGTATTTAGGATGATCTAAATATATATATATTTTTTAACTTTTTATGAAAAAAATATAAAATATGAGTTAAGTTTGAAATGATATAGTAGAGATGTGATATAATCCAAATAAAATAATATACTATTTTAGCACATGTCGAACACTCCTTAAGATAGAGAGCATACTATTTCAGTAATTTTTTAAATTTTTACAAAAATATGTGCAAAAAAATAGAGAAAGTGATATGATAATTTATAATGACATTTGAACTTTTTGACTCAAACGTTTAGTCTCCAAACAAGACCTAAATTAATTTAGTTCAATTTCTTATAATTATTAGTATTTTTAATGAAAAATATGTATATAATTGATATATGCCATGTTTTTTAAAGTAAAATTATAAATGTATTTAATTTAGTGAGCTAATTTCAAATAATTTAATATATATTTCCATAAAAACACTAATAGCATTATTAATTAGATCAAACTGACACAAAATTTAATATTAATGATTAAATTTGACCTAATTAAAAGTGTAGGGACAAAAATTACAGAATAGACAAAATATAAAAACTATCAATATAATTTGTTATTAAAAAAAATGGAATAATTTCATGCCAGTGTAAGTTTAGAAAAATATTTTTAAATTAGTGATAAATTTATAATATTAAAAAGTAAAATTATAAACATTTTCATAATTTTGTAATTAAGTTTTGAATGTACCTCTAACATGTAATTTTCCTTAAAAAAACATTATTTATTTGATGGAGTAATTAATTGGACACTTTGGTCATAAATTCATTTTTCCAGTTTATTTTGTAATCACTAAGACTCAATTTGGGGTTGGGGTAGCTCTAAATGCACCCCCAAGAGTTTAGTTGGGCACTCAATTTCTATCAACACCTCAACCCTAATCTTAAATTTTGACATTTTTTGGTTGGACACCCCCAAATGCTATGAATTAATTCCAATCTTAGCCCCAAACTCACCTCATGAGATCACCATCACAAGTAGAGCCTTATTTGTTGCCACTAAACGACTACCCCTCTCTCAGTGGTCCGCCAACCCTTTCCTCCATCTACCACCATCTATCGCCCCCATCTCTTTTTCTTCTTCTTATCTTTCACCCGAAACCCTAGATTTAAAAATCTAGGATTTCGGAAGGAAGAAGCGATAAGAAGAATAATAAGAATGGAGTGACAGAGGAGGTTCACGATGGGAAAAGGTCGTGACAAGTGAGGTGGTAGAAAATAAAAGAATGAGGCGCGGCGACAATGGTGATGATGATGAGTAAGGTGTGAATAAGAGAAGAAGAAGAAAAAGAATGAGCTGAGAGGCAAGCTTTGTGACAAAAAGAGGTTGCGGTAAGGGAAGAGGTTGCAAAGAAGAAAATAAGACGACATGGAGGCGATGATTGTAACGGCGATGGGTAGGGTGTGAAGAAGAAGAATGAGGGAGTTGCAGGGGGGCTGCCGGTGATATAAGGAAGGCCTAGTGCTAGCGCCGAAGGGCAAGAAATGATTGAGGCATGGCAACAAGGACGGCAGGAGCTCGGTGGTTGGGCGAAGCTGGGTGTCCGGCAAGAGGTATTGTTTTGGTCATTTTAGTCATTTTATTGGGGGACAATATTGTATTATTATTATTTTTTAATAAATATAGTGCCCAACCAAACTCTTAGAGTGCATTTAGAATCTCCCCTCAATTTGTTTAGGATGAAATTGTTAGAAAAAATGATTTTTAGGGACTTTAATTTAATATTAAAGTGTGGTGACTTTAATTAAATATTAAAGTGGGTCCTAACCATTTTTTGTGTTGAGTCCAAGTGAGCCAAAAACCATTGGGTTTTGAATAAGAAATTGCCAAGAAATTGCTTCATGATGTTAGATTCATGAATAGGATTTTAAAGAGTATTTAAATCTTTTTTCTTGGCTAAAGGGTGTGAATCCTTTAGGCATCCATACTTTTCATTTTGTGGAAAGGGGCTATGGATGCTTGGTGTTTTAATGACTAACCTTAAAGGCTGGAGGCTTTTCCTCTCTCCCCTATACATGTATAAATTGAGGCCCTCCTGTCAAGTTTCAATATAGAAATTTTTGCTTCCATTTTACAAATCAGTTTGCTTGATAGTTCCTATTGTGAGAGAGTGCTGGCATTGTTTTGCTCGCTAAGCTAGACAGATAGTGCTTCTACCGTAGCTGGTTTTGACCGTCGTATCCTGGGAGACAGATGCCGGGTTTCCTCAAGCACTCGACCCGTGAGGCGGCGAAATCTGTTTTAAGGAAACTGCTTCCGTGCAGGCTTCGGTTTTGTCTCTTTACCCTTTATTATTTTTTGTGTATTTCTGTTGAAATTTAGTTGTAATTATCAGCATATGTTCTTGGTATATAATTTGTTTTCTTCATAAATCTATTTATTTAATTTCACAATTTTGAACAACAAGCTTAAAACAGATTTTATATATCTTTTCTATGAAATTGATCGAATATATTTATATAGACTATTAGGTTAGCTTTGTATATTGTTACTAGGAATTGTTGCGGAATTGCTCACTATTTCAATAATAGTAAATTATGCAATGGTACTCTCTAATTGCTTAGTTTAATTAGAATGCTCTATTATAATTTGCATACTTAATTGTATTAGTATGATCTTGTTTTATGCGTGTGGGTCATCATTTCCTTACCATGATTTGCATGAATTTTAAGGTTATAAAATATAATTTATGGATGTTGCAATTTTGACATGCTAATTCTATTCTAGTCTCAATTTGTTACATGCTTATTATTTTCTAGGCTAGATTATATAATTTAATGTATTTGGAGTTATAGAGTTTTATGAATTGTGTACATGATTAATCTAAATTATCTAATTATGTGCATTAATATGAATTATTTAATTGGGTGCATTAATCTAAATTATCTAATTGGGTACATTAATCTGAGTTATTTAATTAGGTGCATTAATCTGAATTATTTAATTAGGTGCATTAATCTGAATTATTTAATTAGGTGCATTAATCTGAATTATTTAATTGAGTGCATTAACTTTGAATTTGACTTATCTATTTGGAGTTATTAGTTTAAATGTTTATTATGAATTAATTTCATTCATGACTCGTGAGTATTGAACTTTATTTTAAAGTTGTAATTTAATTTTGAAGTTACAAATTGTATTTTGTTTTGGTATCTTATATTAGTTGGTTACTTATATAATTAATAGTTGGCTAGATGGTTTCAATTATTTATTATAATTAAAATTTTTAGATTATTTGTTTGTATTTTGTTGTGGTTTGCTACTAACTTTCTTTGTAGGGATACCAATGCGAAAAATAAATATAAAACCAAATGAATAGAATTTGGGATGTAAAAACAAAAATGTTTCGACTACTAACGTTTGTGTT